TGTTCGGCTCCGCCCGAACTTAGACTTTCTTACTTGTTATCTTTATATTTATTTTATTTTTAGCATTCGCACGACAAAAAATACACACACACCTTAAGTTTTATTTTCTAAGCAAATAATAAATCTCATTCAATAAATAAGTAAAANCGACAAAAAATACACACACACCTTAAGTTTTATTTTCTAAGCAAATAATAAATCTCATTCAATAAATAAGTAAAACTCGAGAAATAACGACCATTTTTCAACCATCATAATATTTTTTTTTTTTAAGATTTCTGAAGGGAAACATTTGATGGTTTCGATTCTTAAAAAAATGTTGTTGAAGGGCGGACAATGTGCCTTTTTTGCCTTAAAAGAATGTGACATTTTAAGAAATGAACATAGAATTTTCTCACCGTTTGCCTTTATTTTAGAATTGAGCACAAAAAGTAACGAAATCAACATTAATCGTTTAAAAAATATTTTTTTTAACGATTTGATGGCAATTGTACGAAAAATACAATAAAAAATACGAGTCTCCTTATTTTCGACATACTTCAGTTCTGGGGGTTGACTAGAAGAAAATTTCGCCCACCCTAGTGTACTACATACTCAACTTTTGGCATTATTTTAAAAGGGGACTCAGCAATTAATTTACTTAAAATTGATCCACTCGATGCTGGCACATTTACACTCAAGCAAGGAGCGGACAATCCTGTGAATATTGACTTAACATTTATCAAAAACAAAATCACCGGCGTTGCCCATGCTCAGGCATACAAAGTTAGGTAAGGAATTTAGAACAAACTAAGTTTACATTTATCTGTAAAACATATTTACATAGCACTACAAAACTTAAATATTTATATACACTAGGGCGGCTAAATGTTTTTGACTATGCGCGTATAGCATAGGAGAGTTCTACGTGCAATTCTAAGCAAATTTTGACTTTGCCAAATTGCGAAAATAGGTTCGATAAAAAAATTTTCTCTGTTGAGCCCTATAGTGGAAGTTTTAAGAAAAATATGCAAAAAATGGATTCCTCATACCAAAATATCTCTTCTGACATGTTTTTATACAAACTTTAAACACTTTTTTACCACACTACAGCAAAATGCTAAGAAACCTATTTTCGCAATTTCGCAAAATCCAAATTGGATTTAGACCCATGGTTTCTTCGGCAAATTTGCTTAGAATTACTCGTAGAATCGTCCTATGCCATACGCGCATAGTCGAGGAAATCTCCCATACAATTTGATCCGCCCTAATATACATATTTATGTACGTATTTTTTTCTTTTTATCTCTCCAGAGGCTTTGGCAAAGATTTAGCCAAGAAACATGAGCTGCGTTTCAAAGTGCCCGTAGCTAGCTTGATCGGTGACTACAAGATTCAAGGACGCGTTTTAATTTTACCAATAAGTGGTTCGGGCAAAAATAATATTACCATGTGTAAGTGGAAATTAGTTTATTTGTGTTCAATTAGAAATTCGATTTTCTAATCTCTGCTTGTGCATGAATTCTTCTATTATTTCAGTGAATGCGGATTTCGTACTCCAGTGGGTGGGTGTGCCCGTGGAAAAGGATGGAGCAACCTATATGAAAACGGACAAATTTAGGGCAATCGTTAAGCCCAATAAAGTGATTTTCGATTTCCAAAATCTTTTCAACGGCGACAAAGCGCTGGGTGATAATATGAATTTGTTTTTAAATGAAAATTGGAAAGAAATCTATCAGGAAGTTGAAGCAACATTTTCGAAAGAAATATCTCGATTGATGGGAAATGTTGTCGATGCAGTTTTCTCTAAAACGCCATATAATAAATTATTTACGGAATAAATAAAAACAAAGTAAATATTTCAAGGACAAATAAGAGTGTGTAGTAATTTACTTATCTTATTTATAAGAAAGCAACAACTTGAAAATTTCAGATTTTGTCCGTGCTTTCAATTTCTCATGATCTGCACAGAATTAGTGAAAACATTATTTATTTTAATCGACGTGAAATTTCACAGGACTTAACATTTGGGCGTTTCCATAAAAATGTAAACCGAAAATGAACTCAAACTGCTTTATAACTTTAAACTTTGTATTTAGATGGCGAAAATAGATTGTGAAAACGCGACGCGATGAAGAGAATAATTGAGAAAATTGAATAGAAAATTAAATTATATATGTATTACTAGTAAAAATATTGTATGCGGAAAAAATCTGTCACATCCGCTATTTCACGTCCGTTCAAAATGAACCTACAACGAATTTCTTCTGACTAAAAATGAATTGATTGTAAAGGATTAAGAAAATATATAAATATATGTATATGTATTAGGGTTGTTCACCAAAAACGTTGCCGTGCTTCCACCGGAATTATATAAATTATTATAGTTTAAGACTTCTGGCAAAATATTTCGGAAAAATTAAGATTTACATGAGCTGGACCGATTTTATTATTTAAATTATTTTTTTGCTCTTCTATCATTTCACGAGATTTTTTGGAAATAAAATTTTCAAAAACTAATATTTTTTATGTATAAACAAGTAAAATAGTCTAAGTTCGGGCGAGCCAAATATTAAATACTCGGCGCACGTATTAAATAAATATATTTTTTCAGCTTGCCGAAAACAGCAGTGGTTTTACCGCTATTTCAAACATTTTCGATAGTGTGTTCAGTTAAGCAGGGATCACAGTCCGATTTTTTACCAATCCCAACAGCTGTGCACATTTTTTTTTTTTAATTAATAATATTCTTATTTTCTGCCCAAAGATAATTGTAAATGTCAATTTCGAGTGAATAAGCTTCAGTTACTAAAATATCACAGTTTTTGTACTTCTGAAGACTACCGTTACATAGACTGAAGACTACCGTTACATAGGCGTGGTTATTGTCCGATTTGGTTTTGATTTTCAATACCATCCATCCTTTGCAACTTTTAGTCGAGTTATCGCGTGCACAAGCTGACGGACGTGCGGACAGACAATCACGGTCTAATTAATTTCATTCTGAACATTTAAGTATGCGTTTGTCCATATCAGAGGTTCCCAAACTTTTTTTCTCGCACACCCTTTTCAAAACTTTACTGGTTTCGGTGGTCCCCCTGCTACTACATTTCTAATATATTCCTAAATCTCCAAAAAATGTGAACACATTTAGTTAGATCTATCTAACAATGTAAATTTGCATCGCAGTTGAGTTCCAAAACACTATTCGGAGCGGCAAAAATAAAAACTAAATATTTTGTTCGTGGTCTGTTTATTAAAACATGTGATTACACACTTGCAAGTTTTAAAAAATAGAGCTCGTAAAGTCATCAAAGTCATCTCTCGCTCTGAAAAGTTAAATTTTTGAAGAGCACTCTGAGCGCTAGCATTATTTATACTATCTTCTCCATGAACTTCTTCATAAATTTACATGTGGCATATTTGTAAATAGCTTATTTGTGTTGATGGCATTATTTTTTGTTGGCAAGAAGCACAAAAAGTGTCCCATCCTCTGCAAGGCAGAATTGGTAAATGGAGTTGTCTTTTACGCCTATCACAGTCAGGCCCATCACGTGAAGTGACCAGTCAGCAAACCAATAAGTTGTCTGAAGTCTCGTCAGCTCAGTGAGAATTTTTCCAGCCTGCATCTCCTGCATTGCTGAGCGAAGTATTCACCCAGTTTCTAGTGGTGGTTTCGATGAACAAAGTGGGGAGTGTTATAACTAGTTGCGGATCGAGAAATGTCTGGTCTAAGCCAACTGGCCAAATGGTCAGATGTCTCATTACCAAGTACTCCGGAGTGACCTGGCACCAAGAGTAAAGCAAGCTCGTTATGTTTACCAACATAATTTAGTCGAGACTTGCATTGCCGAACTAGTTTGGAAGTACTTAGGTAGAGGGCTGGCCAATGTCTTGCAGCTGGGCTTTGATGTCTCTGCAGACACGTATTCCATGGCTTTGAGGATTGCAATTACCTCAGCCTGGAAGACCGAAGAATATTCCCCAAGAAAAAAGTGAAGCTTATCCCTATTAACTTCGAAAAAGACCCCAGATCCTGACCAGAGTTAAGAGCTCAGTGCCGGAAATAAACCAGCATTCAGCTTCAGGGAACTCAACAATATAGAGTCTATTCAACAAAGGAAATGGTGGTGGTCAAATCTCTGCCGCGAGTAATTTTCGCCTAGCCCACTCCTTCCTTTCACATTCCTTTCCTTTTTAGTCTGCAGGTGGCCTTTAAGGCTTCCCCACCTATGACGACACAAAGTGACGATAATTGCAGCAGAGTGTCAAGAGCACCATACACCACAAGTTAATTAAAGAGGCTATAAAACAACCATTTTCGTTCTTTACTATCGAAACTAGATAAATTTTTGTGGACCCCCACTTACATCTCGTGGACCCCTATATTTTTTCACGCCAACGCAGACCCCACAGAGTCTCCCGTGCACCACTTTGGGAATCACTGGTCTATACCTATCACGATTCGTTTTGGGTATTACAATCAACCGTTATGTTATAAAGTTATAATACCCCTATGCACAAGTGCGCTCGGGTATTAAAAAAACTACATATTTTCAAATTTGTCGGACGTATATCTTAACATTTTTCGGAATTATTTTGGCGCAGGTCTTAAAATTTAATAAGTTTTATAACTCCGATGTAAAAACAATTCCGATTTGTTATTTTGTATGGAGAGTGTCCCTAATGTATACACCAGGGTGGTCCAAGGTAGGGTAGTTTTTCGAAAAAGGCAGGTTTATTCTAAAACGTTATAGTATCAAACCATGATAAAAAAAGAAGGTAGTTGCATTGTCACTTCTTTGTCGCCACATTAACAACCTGACAATTAAGCAGATTGTGACATTTCGAGCTACCATATCCAACATCTAAAATCCTTCAAACTTTATTATTAATTTTTTGTTTATTTAAAACATTTTGTTCTTAGAATCGAAATTTTAACAAGTAAACGATCTTTTGTTGGGCATCGTTCGGTTATTTGTACAATGATTTTGGGTTATTGTGTCCACACGCGAAACCCGAATAAAAAAATGTGAACACACACCTGTGATCAAAGGATTAAAATTTGGTATAAATAAATATTAACAATTTTTGAACTCACTTTTTTGTAACAAATACTGTGGTAGCCGAAGTTGGACAGATGAGGGTTATTTGTTCTAAGCGCAGCCGAAGGCCTCCAACGCGGAAAGGTATTCTTCTGCGCATAGATCCTGTGGTTGGCGTAACCCGAGTTTGCATTTTCTGGCAAAATTGTAATTTTACCCATAGGACCCACTGTCCCTAGGGGTCATAGAGGGGAAGGGTCACTTCTCTTAACGTTTGGACTGTTCTCTTTCTAGTGGGTGGAATCATCAATTTTGTGTCACACCCCTTCCAATATTGAACAGTAAAATATATTTTAATTTTGCCCAAAGAAACAACAATATTATCAAAACATACCAGAAGTGGATAATACTCACTTCTCTGAAAGTCATGAGGCCTATGGGTCCCAAAATAAAATCCACATTCAAGTTATTTGAAAGACATGCAGTTAAATGGACAAAGACAATTGGGAGCGACCTTCAAATTCGTGTTATGAAATTTCACACCGTTAAATAATAGTTGGTTGAGGTTTCAAGTCCTCCAAACATTNTTCAAGTTATTTGAAAGACATGCAGTTAAATGGACAAAGACAATTGGGAGTTCACAAGGTGAGGTATACTTTCGTATTGTTTTATGTCATAAACTTTAAACGGCTAAAACTATATTTAAGGGATTCTCAAGCGACCTTCAAATTCGTGTTATGAAATTTCACACCGTTAAATAATAGTTGGTTGAGGTTTCAAGTCCTCCAAACATTTGTTTAACCGTTCAAAACTTTACGACATACGAAAATACGACACTTACGGCACACAATGGGACTACAGCGGCCAAAAGTAGTAAAAACGGGTTGGCGAATTCTGAAAAAGTAATTACGCAGATACATAGCTTGTTTCTTTAACCATTTTTTCATGGTAACTATAATTTATGGGTCCGCCAACACCCCCAGAAAATGCAATGGGGACCAATACATAACAAATCTTTAATATTAAAAAATGGTTGAATAAACAGCTGAGTCTCCTGAAGAGAACCACAGTTTTCCGATCGAAAAGTATTGATTTTCAAGCATTTTATACCATTTCTACGAAAAGTTATTTTTTCCCCATATAAAATACCTGGAAAACTTTGAGCTCTTTGAGCACTCCCTAAATATTTTTTTGATATCAAAATAAAAAATAGGGGTGAATTTTTTTCGGTAGAGTACAATCCTAAGGGGTCGCGGCATTAAACTTCCGTCATTATTTTTTTGGACCACTCTAATGTACATGTTGGGATTTTCCCCTTATGTATTCTTCTGTATATCTTTATAGGAAATCATCAGTTTACCGTAGTTTTTTTTGTTAAATACTTCGATGCCTTAAAATAATAAACAATCTTAAAGATTTGACGAATTCCTCATGGCACACCCTGTTTATTTAGTATTCATATGTTAAACTTGAATGACTCAAACTTGTTTAGCATCGAAATATAACTGTTAACTTCCCGCAGAAAAAAAGTATCAATTGCGGGATTTCGATAAATAACTAACTTTTAATTAGCTATGATAGAACTAACTTTAAGTTAGTTGCAAAGTCATGCAGACGGTATCGGGAGTTTGTTTTCTTTACAAGTTTCTATTTAAATATCCTCATACGAAAATTACTTTCAATACACTTTTTGCACTTCGCAGATTCTTTTTCGTATTCAGAACGAATATAATAAAGGATGTAATTTTATATTATCATTTTGCTGTTATGTCTGATCGAAAAATATGATAAATAGTTCCACTAGTCGACTGCTAGTTAGTTAA